CATTCTTTGAGGTATCTCCATATTGATTTCCACAGTAGTTGCACCAGTCTGCACTCCCACCAACAATGAAGAAGGGTTTCTTTTTCCCCACAACACTGCTGACATTTGTTATTGGTTGATGTCTTCATAGCAACCATTCTTTCTAGGGTGAGGTGGAATCTCAGTGTTGTTTTCATCTGCTCATTTTCATTTTTTAAGACAAATTCTTTCAATGTAGTTCAGGCTGGCCTTGGACTCACTATGAAGTAAGGTTGGCCTGGAACTCAAGGCAATCTTCCTGCCTCAGCCTCCTGAGTGCTGGGATTATGGGCATGTGACACCATGCCATTTTAAACCTTTTTTTAGTATCAAGGATAAAACTCAGGACCTTGTACTTGCGAGGCAGGTGTGGTGCCACTGAGTTAAATCCCCTGCTCTTAAACCACTTTTAAAAATTGTATTTTTAAGCCAGGGATTTAGCTTAGTGGTGCTGCTGCCCGCCTCACAAGCACAAGGTCCAAGTTCCATCCCCAGTACCAATAAATAAATAAACAAATAAATAAAACAACTATATATATTTGGGTCATGATACTGTGAAGGCATCCTTCAAGCCTCCCCGGGAGACACCTGGAAAGGAGTCTGTTTAGTCTACATAGTTCCTTGTGAGGGAGTTAATTAGTTCCTCAATAAGAACTACACAGAGACAGAGACAACCAATTATCAGCATCAGGGAAGCATCACAGCATGAGAGTTGGAGCTGCAGCTCCAGAGTTCAAGAGCTATTCCTTCAGCAAAACAACAACTAAAGGTTACAGTGTTCTTTAGTTCACAGGCGTTACAGTATCTTATCAGACTCAGCACCTGCTGCATGACCTTGTCCATGCTGTGCATATGTGGTTGAGTATATTAAGTCATTCTGGGTTTGTTTTGCTTTTTTGGTACTGGGATCGAACTCAGGACCTTTCAAGCAACAGAACCACAGAGCTAAACCCCTGGCCCCATTCTTAGGTAAATGTGGCCTTATCTTTGCACTCTGAGAGCACAGGTGTAACCTTAAGTGTCCTCAGAGATCCTTAGATGCCCAGGCTTTCAGTATAGGCAGAAGTGGTACCCTGCAGACACTTACTCATCAAAAAGATCCCCACAGTTTACACATTACATTAAAAACTACTCTATTGTATTGGGCTCAGAGGCACATGTCTGTAATCACAAATACTCAGGAGGCTGAGGCAGGAGTATCACAAGTTTGAGACCAGACTGGCTCATTTAGCAAGAGCCTATCTCAAAATAAAAATTAAAATGGACTGGGGATGTTAGCTCAATGGTAGAGCTCTTCTGGGTTCAATCCTTGGTATTAAAAATATTATTATGGACAGAAAAGTGTGGTGTCTGAGCTGTACTTCAAAATAATCCAGTGGGAGCAAGTAGATGAAAGCAGAGAGAAAATCAGATTGGCCAGGAGGTAACTGTTGGAGCCAAGTGGTTGATTCTCCAATCTATTCTTAGATACATCAGAAAAATCTCAGTAGTAAAAAGTTTATTGGGAATGTATTCAGGAGGCCAGCGCCTTAGTCAGTCCACCTGATGGAACTCAGAGCCTCCCTTTCCTCTCCACCCACCCCAGCCTCTCTAGTCTGGTCACAGGGAAGTGACTTCTACCTGTTAAGAGGTCAGCTGTGCAGTATTCATGCCTCCCTATACCAAAGCGTGGCTTCAAGGACAAAGGTGGTGAAGAGCAGGAAAGGTTCATTGAGAGAAAGCTCCTGAGAGACAGGAGGGGTACAGAAAAGGAGTTGCAGGGGCTTGGGATTTAGCTCAGAGGTTCTGCCGCCTGCCTCACAAGCTCAAGGACCTGAGTTTAAACCCTGGTGCCAAAAAACAAAAACAGCAACAGAAAAGGAGTTGCCACTCAATGGCTCCTTAACAAGGATGTTTTAGTCAGCAAAGCTGGGTGTGGGTTAATTTACAATCAGCCTATAGGATTATAAGTATAGCCACTTAGCTAATGTTGACCCAATAGGGAATCAAGGCACATAGCAAGGGTATTATCAGTGAACATCATGAACCTCAGCCTATCTATAACTTCTAACCAGAAAGAACAAAGGCATTCCTAGAAAGGGAGAGGAGTATGAGCTAGATGTGCTAGTCACCCACCTATGTGTCTGACGCCTCTCTGGGCCCACTGGACTGGGTGGTGCTAATCACAGTACAATCTCAGTTGCTGTTTGTTTCCAAGGAGGCTCACAGGCCTGGCCATCCAGTTTACATCTTTTTTTTTTTTTTTTTTTGAGATAGGGTCTTGCTAAGTAGTTCAGGCTGTCCTCAAACTCATGGCGATACTCCTGCCTCAGCCTCCCAAAGTGCTGGGATTACTGGGGTGCACCACTACACCCAGTGGGGTCTCCATCTTGAGACCTGACTCTCTTCAGATTCACCTCCAGCCACCATCTTTGTGTACCTCATGTTCTTCACTCAAGGACCCAATTCCTCTCTCACTGCAGATTAATTTCTATCTAATTTATCTGTCTATAACAGTCCTGAAGAGGAACAGCAACGTTCAACAACAGGGCCACACACCAAGAGGTCGGACAGGAGACTTTGTTCAGGAGAGCAGATCAGAGAGGGAGAAGAGAGAGGAGAACAAAGAAAGGAAGGTCCTTTTATCGGTTTTGGGCTGGACTATTGCTTATTTATGAAGAGTGGGCTACTTTTAACCTATCACAGGCCAGGTTGCCTTTTACGGGTTCAGTCCTGCAGAAATTTAGGTTTAACTTCTCTGGACCGTTGTGGCCTGGGGGTGGGGGGATTAAAGGTAAGAGCCTGAGGTCATTCTGAGGCATGAAGAACCAGGAAAAATGCAGCCTGTGATGGCGTCAGGTCCCTAACAAGTCCACTCCCCTCCTTGCAGTGTTTCCATAACTTTAATAGCTTTCTAGTTTAAATTCACTTATTGAGCCCTGTTCCTCATGGCCGATGTACTTGTTCTAATACTTATTCTCTGATAAAAATGCTTCATTCTTTTCCACATCTGTGGGGCTGGGGATTTAGCTCAGTGGTTCTGGTGCGAGCCTCGCAAGCGCAAGGACTCGAGTTTGATCCTCAGTAGCAAAAAAAGAAACCAAAAACCAAAACCACATTTGTGGAGAGGAATGGAGGTAACAAGAGGATTATTTCTTTTTGTTTATTTTTGCAGTACTGAGGATTGAACCCAGAGCCTTTGCTGATTTACAGCCCCAGGGACTGTCTTTCACTCTCCAGCTCTCACGCCCCCCCACCCCCGCAAGGTATTTAAATTGCTAGCTTGCCCAGGCTGGGCTTAAATTTGCCATCCTCCTGCCTCAACCTCCCAGAGTATGGGATTACCAGCATGTGCCACTGCACTCAGTAAGAAGTTTTATTTTTAGTTGTTTTCGTGACGTTATATAATTTGCTTATTATGTCTGTTTATCACATCTCTCCCTACAAAAGTCAAGTTCCATGAGGACAAGAATCCACACCACAGTCGGTCTGTTGGTAGATATTTAAAATCATATATGGCTCACATTATATATTCTTATCAAACAGAGCTGATACACAAGTTAAAATGGAGGATTCCGGAGTTAAAACAGCTGAGTTCAAAACCCGGTTCTGCCATCTATTAGCTGTGTGACCATGGGCAAGTCTGGCCTCTGCCACCTGGGTTTTCCTGCCCGCAAAATTGGGATGGGGCAGGGCCTGCTTCACCCGCTGGCGTTATTGGCTGGATATACACACACAGACACACAGACACACAGACACACACAGACAAGCGCGCGCCCTTCGCTGCTGGTGAAATGAGGATAACTCTGCTGCCCGGCCTTAATCGGTGATAGAAATATTCCTAAGAGGTGCCAGGAATATTTCCACTAGTTCCCAGATGAGGCCTCCCGCTGGATGTCTGACCTAAATAACGGGTTGTTCGGCGCCTGGCATCCCACTGCCGGATCAGGGACCCCTCCGAAGTGTCCTAGGCCGGCGGGGACCCCCAAGGCGCCGGGGCTGG